GCGGCGGCCCGTGCGCGCGCCGCCGCAGCGCCGCCGCCCGCGGGGCCGCCGCGGCGGCGCGGCTTCTGCTGCGCAGCGGGCGCCTGGCCGGCCACCCTCAGGCGCGCGAACGCGGGGTGGGCCTCGAACTCGGCCAGCTTCTCGGCGGCTGCCTCGGGCTCGAAGTTGAGCTTGTTGCCGGCGTCGGCGGCGGCGGCGGCGGCGTCGGCGGCGGCGCCGCCGCCGAGCAGCAGCAGCACCGCACAATCATAGGCCTGGGCAGCTTCTGCCTCTGTGGTGTACCTGGAAAGAGATATTGCAGGTAAATATATATGTATAATTAAGATAGATATACAAGTATTGGAACATATTAAATAGATTGCAGGGCACCGCAGGCATTTGCAAATGCAAGGCGTGCGCCGCTGCGCCCCCTGCCTGGCGGCGCGCCCCCCTGCTCGTTCTGCCTTGTACCGCTTTACTGCGGGCAGAGCGCAACGCCTCCCTCCCTCCCGCCTGGCGGGCGGTGGCGGCCGCTTGGGCGGCAAATGCGCGGGCGTGTGCGAGCGTCGGCGGGACGGGGGCCGCGCGCGGGCGCGCGGGCTGCGAACGACGGCGCAGGACGTCGCGTGGGGCTGTGTTTGACGGCGCACCTGCCGACGTGGCGCCGCTTGCCGATGCGGGCGTCGTAGATGCGCGCGCGCCACATCTTCTCCTTAGCATCGAACGTGACGCCCCTGCAAGCAGTTGCGCGCAAACGAGTCGGGCGGTTTGCGTCAGCTGGCGAGCACAGTGTGCGCCAGCGACTACGCAGTATGCAACCTGCGGCACCGCCTGCTGCCGGCGGCTGTTGGTCGAACGCTATTAAGCTGAAAGCACGGCTCCAACAAAGATGCCGGACAGCGCCAGCCGAGGGCAAGCAGCTGGAGGAAAACGTGAAGGGCCGCAGCAGCTCGAAGGCGTCGCTGCCAAGCTCAGGCGGGTAAGCACAGCATAAGTCGTGCCTGGGCACAGAGCCAGCCGCTGGCCGCACCTGAATCCACCCTTCCCAGGAGAAGGCTTTCCCGGCTCCTTCCGCCGCGCTGCCCCGCCTGACTTCATTGCGGCAAACTAGATTATCAGATAGTACTATGAAGACGTTCGACACCTCCGTGACTGGCGAGGCTCCCCCGGGGCCGCTTGAACCGCGTGGTCCCTCGCTGCGCTCGGACCTCTACACGGGTGTGTCAACGCATCTTCGTATGCTAGATAGTATTCCAACACATGTGGATAGCCCGGGGGCTTCTGCTGGCCGAGTGTGATGTGGTGAGTAAGACATCCCGATTGGGTGTCGTCTTCCACAGACGGGTGACCCGCTTAGTCGCGCCCCGCCGCTTGGTAAACTCTGCGCGCCTGCCCCAGGCGCCAGCAATTACGGGGCCCCCCAGCCGCCTCTGCAGCCTGCGCCGAAGCCCACACGCGCGGGGCGGGCGTCACGGCACGGCCCGTGAAGCGCCAACCACCGAGAGCGCCGCCAAGAATGGCGCCGCGCGGTGACGCCGCACCGCTTTCGCCGTCAACCCCACGTTTTGACCCCCTGGTGCTTGCAACGGCTGGGGGCGAACCTTGGTATTACGCGCCACCCGGCGGGCACGGCCAAGGGCCACGGCGGCTTGCGGACAATCGGGTGGTATGCCAGAATGGCGAGTCATGCGCGCGTTGCATGGCGCCAGCCGGGCAGAACTGAAGGACCCAAACCAATGGCTGGCCTGCCGCCCGGCCCAAGCCCGCCGTGTGATGCCGTGGCGCGCGTGGCAGGCGCCGCAGCGCCGCAGAGCCGTTTCCAGGCGCGCGCGGCAATTTTTTTCTCAGATTTTTTGGTGGCATCGTGGGGGAAGAGAACGGGCGGTCGAAAGGCCAGGGAGCCGCCGCCCGCCAGCCGGGCACGGCCCAACTGGCGGCAGCGCGGCAGGCAGGGGTGGCGGCGTGTGCCCCGCGCTCACTCTCCGCCGCCGCCGCCGACAACAGCAGGGCTGAGCCTTACAAATCGGGGCGCGGCACCGAGCCCGCTGCGTGGAAGTGGCATCCAAAGCATTGCGCTGCCCCCTACGCCCACTGCGGCCGCGCCGCGGCTGGATCACCATATCAGTACGATGATATGAGATCTGAGATCTGAGATCCAGGATCCGAGATCACACCCCCGCGTCGTCCCACGCCCCCCCTTCCGACACCTGGCTGCCCTCCGACCCCTCCCCACC